TTCACAAATTTATTTTTCACACGTCCATCTCCCTCTGCTGGGCCATACACACACACGAAGGCAGTCTTTTCCCTGCCCCATAAACCTGTATCACCCTCCCCTTCCCTCTTCACAATGCCTCACAACAAACGGGTTAGTCTCCCTAATCATGATGGCAACACCTCCCTTCAACCTTGTAGTATGCTCCATGTACATGTTATACCCATCTATCCGTAACTCCCTACCTGGTTTATAGTTATGTTCCTGGACGAACACAACATCAAAACTATAACACTAAGAATTCTCTAAACCATACACACTTTCTCACAGACCGCAAACCATTAATATTTATAGTCAGGCACTTAAAACGGACATTGAGGGTTTCCCTCGTGACACTGACAATATCTCGCCCGATTGTTTGATTCCTCCCCTGTATGACACCAACACCTGGGTTCTGAAGTCGTTCAAAATGACGTAAAATGGGATCAGGTGGCGTAGTGTCATCTTCACAGAAAACGTGCCCTCAAGGATTCCTGCATATGGCCCTTTTGACCACTTCCCAGCTGCAGCCATGTGTATTGTGCCATATTTACCCAAAGCTGCACGGATATCAGACACATCAGCCTCAAAAGGCACATTTCAGATTTTTACCCGTGTATAGTAGCGTGAGACTTCATGTAGCTTCACCGACACTGCATGCGTTAGATTAACCTCCTGGAACTTGTCTACAACCGCTTCATAAACACTTGCAGAGCACAACTTCACAAAAATCCTCGTCATGCCGTTCAACGCCACTCCGCATAATGCCTCATTGGCAATACCATAGGTATCACTGATAATTGCAGGCAATACCAGCGCCGTAGATGGCCTAGTCACAGCCCCATGGGTCAATTCGATGCACACAGTATTGACACGGCCCCTACCAGCCATCGCCATGTTGAGAAAATTAACTGCCACCAGTCGACTATAGGGGGCAGCTGTAGTGCACGTCCTCTCTACTCAAAGGTTGAGAGACGAATTGATTTTTATGTATGTTACAAAATAAGCGATATCTAATAATGATAGAGATCTCCAGTGAATACTAGAAAGGACTGCCCTTCTAGCATCCAGCCTGTTACTGGGTTTTTGTAACAAGTAGTCAGTATCCTGGTCCAATTATCCATTAGAATTTAGTAAGATTCAATAGTGCTTCAGGATTACAACTGGTAGGCTACTAACTAAAGAAAGTAGTTCGCTATGTCTCAAGACTCGACTAGACTTAACCAGTGACTGACTAAAAGTTCTCACATTAACTTCTTGACCAACCTGGCAATCAGAACAGCTTGCTTGAACAGTAAAGCGACTGTTAAGCCGAGCAGCAATATAACAAGCAACAGCGACACAGAATCAGGAACAAGGAGATAATATAACGACACTAAGTAGGGACCATCTGCAGATCCTCCACAAAAGTCACAAAACTCCTATACTACTGAATCTAAGTTCAGCATTAGAAAATCCCCGACTGTGACAGTACACAGATACCAGTACAAATTAGGCCAGAAGCTACAGCTCAGGACCTGAGTTTCTCAGAGTGTCTATGCGACACACAACCTCAGTACAATGTCGAATATCACTAAGTCTAGGCTATGTTCTGTGAACAGAGTTTCACAGAACCAACAACAAGAAAGTGACAGAGACTATCTTCCAACAAGGGCCCACAAGGGAGAGCTGGAGAGGCCGTGTTGTTGGAAGGCACGTCAGACAAGAAGCTAGTGCAGACCAGCCAGACACTCAATCCTGGCGAGGTGTGATCACCCCACCCTGATCACGTGACTCTCTGTGGACTGCTGCTGGCCAGCAACATAGAAGCCAGCAGCGAAACAAGCGAAGTGAAAGCTACAGTAGTCAGACAATGCTATCAGGTACTTAACACTCGAACTATGAGCACTGAATAATATATAAATGTTACATCCTACCTAATAATGTAACTAAGTCAAATAATAATATAAAGCAATATATTTACGACTTAGCTAATATCGCAAATATAAGCAATATAAAATTATATGAACAGGTAATATACATTATATACATTGTGACTCATTCAGGGGTCGCAATAATGTAGTACACTGGGACATGTTAAAACATGTTTTGGTCCGTCTATACAATGCTATGAAAGATGAAGGTAGAATAGGGGGAGGTGGGGTTGGGAATCGTGGTGTTGGTGCCGAAGGAGAACATCCATGGAACTCTAGGTGAATATAGGTCCATCATGTTGTTAGGAGCGGATTACAAGATTTTTGGCCAGTCGTATGAAATGGATGACATTGGTTTGTCCGTGGGAGAGGTAATTGGTGAGGAGGTTTTTCCAGGTAACCAAAGGAAGGCCATTTGATATTGGTTCAGAAGATTGTGATTGCACCCTCGGGTCCGAGAAACTGGGTACCGTTTCCTCATTGGAATACTAGCGTCTAAGGCACAATTGAATGTTATGGGCCTGGCTCGGGATCAGATCTGTGTACGATATGGGTGGCCGGAAACGGCATTCCACGTCGTATGCTTTTGTGAAGGTTTAATAGGGGTAAGAGATTGGTTTCAGGACGTTCTACGACAGGTGGGAGGAGGGAGGTCGTCAGTGCTTAGAGTATTAAGTCTAGAAGTATGGGGTTGTTCTGGTGCGGTCCGACGATCGATTTCGTACTTGGTGCTCAACTATTTGTACGTTTCATGGGGAATGCGGGAGTTTAGGAGTGCGAGGCGCATCAGGGCGCTGGTGTGTCGTTTTTACAGAACTAAATGTAGAAATCGAGAGGTGTATGGACAATGCTGGGAGAGGGACTTTTCGTTGGGATATAGAAACCTAACAATGGATATATTAATGGGGTTATGACATCTATAGTGAGTTGATAGGTTACAAGATGGAGCATGTGAGTTGGTCTCCCGGGAGGGGGGTTAGTTTTAGTGTATGAAGTGTACTAGTGAACAGGTGTGCCTGTGTGCCGGCGTGTGGCCTAGGGTGAGGGGGTGACCTGTATGAGGTCCGGGTTATGTTTTCTCGGTGTGGTTGATGACTCGGACTGGGAGGGGGGGGACATACAGGAACCAAGTGCTGGGTATTACCATTTCGGCAGAGCTGTTGGTAATCCATTGTCAAGTAAGCGTGTTTTGCAAGGAGACCGGTCATATTATTAGCATATAGTGTGGCATAAGAGCTAGATACTCAAACTGGGCTATCATAGTCCGGAGACTTTCATGAAGGCGGTGACATCCCCCATATGCCAATGGAGGTTTATGCATCTCTGAGCACGCCGATTTTGTGGCCTAAGTAGGATCATTCAGACCATGTGTAGTTTACATTATGGAGAGACTTCCACATAGACTATCTGGTGGATAGAACCTAGTTTACAATTGGTGATAACTCTGGGTACGAGTGCCGCTTGTGTATGTGTAAAGAATTTGAGGTGTTCATGATGTACTCCTTGTAATATGTACTGTAATTGGTTTGGATTTTCGTGTAACAGGTTAAGGGGAGGGGAGGTTAGGGGAGAGGTGACCTAATGTCAGGGAATTTATGGAGTCTCTGACGACTGCAAAAGGTCGCCTAGTTTAGTATTTTGTGTGTGTGGGGGGGGGGAGGGGTTGGTCGGTGAGTGGCCATGGGAGCGTTAGTGGCTTATGTACTAGGTTCAACATATATAAGGCATATCTGGTTCGAGAACTATGTTTGAAAACAAAGGAGATAGGTCGGGGCTTACCCTTGTGATATGTAGGGTATTCAGCGGCAGGAGGGTCTCCTTCTACTGTAGTATATGACCAGGGGGTCATGCAGCTCCGGGATGCTGGGATATTTTGGTTTTGTACTTTGTAGGTTAGTAATAGTAATAATATGCTTTGTTAATACATAATTACCATTGTCATGAATGTTTTGTTTCCGCTGCGGCGGCCTTATGATGCAACGGGTTTTATTTCAAATATGAAACGACAAATTATTTTCCTGTACTGGTGTAGGGTTAAGACAGTGTAAAATGTTTTATTACCACACACATTGTTTTGTTCTTGATGTATATATCTTCTTGTATGTACCTTTATGAACTGATTTTAAATAAAATATATAAAAAAATTTCCAACATGGGAGATAAATGAATTATGATGTGGGTAAAGTGGGGAAGAGAGAGGACACTTCTAGGCGGCTGAAAAATTTGTCGTTTCAAACGTTGATAATGTCTATGTGATTGAGGAGATCTGAGTGTTTGAGATGTGCGGGGATGGTATTGCCCAAAAATCCTACCAGGTGTTTAGATGGAGTGTCTGCTATTATGATAGGGGCGCTGCCCATTCCGGGGAATGTATGTCTCAATAGGATTCCAGGTTTGTGGGTCTTAGGCAGACCGTGTAGTCTAGCTGACTGGGACATAGGGATGGACTGAAGTAATTTCTTTCTTTAATTTTAAACGGTTTAAGATGTAGCCTGATTTGTGGTGGAAACCCTGAGTGAGTCCACTTGGTGCGAGAGTTTAGTGTGTCCATGGTAACTCCTCCTCTGCCAGCGGTGTTGACGATCATGTTAGCACGTTTCTTACATTGTGTAGGCGAAACATCGTCAACAAATGTTCCATATAACTGCAGTTATATCTCTTTATTATAGTGTCGGAATCTTATGTTAATACTTGCCTTGGATCAGACCTGATTACCATTCCTCCAGACACTATATGACCCATACGAGTTTTGAGACTCTCTGACCGCGGGTTCAAATCCCGCCCGTGGTATGGTTTGTTTGCAATCATGTCATTACGATTTCGTGAGTCATGATGACCCATACGAGTTTAATAGTTTCCCATGAAAATAATAATAATCCTTCTAATACCAGTATGACAGTACCGACAAACTGTGCAATACACACAGTTGTGATCCTTTTATTAGAACAGTATCTTCAGGACCAGTAACTTGGCGAAGTAATTCAGACTACCAAGTTGAGTTCTGTTATATATTTCATGATTAACAAGCGTATAAATATGTGGGTGATAACTCCCGTGTGATGTTTGCAGAGTTCAGTGAGGAGAACATTGCAGACATGGCGCTGCTGCTGTCAACTTGTGCCCAGGTTGAGTCTGCTGACGTTCCCACCGCTCTCAAGGTACACACACACACACACACACACACACACACACACATGCAGGTACATCTATGTGTATACACACCCATCTGAGTTTTTTAATGTTTTCTTAACAGTTCTTGTTCGTATATTATTTCTTTACATCTACATGGGTAAGTGAAGAATCCTTCCTCCGTAAGCCATTCGTGTAAAAATACTAAAATGCCGGGAGCAAGGGGCTAGTAACTCGTCCTAGGATGTTTGAATGTGTGTTGATGTAAGAGCTGATGGCGAATGAAAAGAAGTTGAATGTTTTAGTTTTAATTAAATCTAAAGCTGAAGAGCATAGGAGAGTTTCAGTGGGAGAAATAAATGGGTTAGGTCTGGTATATCTGGGAGAGTTAAAGCTGAGGAAGGGGTAGCAATAATGTTGAAGGATCAGTTATGGAAAGAAAAGAGGGAAAATAATTGTATAAATTCAACGACGATGTAGATTAAAAAAAAGGGTCGGATGCGACGAGTAGTTAGACTAAGTGTTGATGCACCTGGAGAAGAGACGAATGTAGAGGAAAGAGAGATGTTAAGTAAGTGTTTAGGAAGCTTTACACAAAGTGAGAGTAATTGTGGTATGGGACCTGAATGGTAAAGTGGGAGAAACTGTTACGGAAGGTGTAGTAGGTAATTTTGGGGTGCCAGGGGTGCCAGGGGTGCCAGGGGTAAATGATGAGGGGGGGCTTTGATTAAACTGTGTATAGAAAGAGATTTGGTAATGGGTAATTCATATTTTCAAAAAAGGATAAGTACAGGAGATATGATATAGGTCATAATGACAGCAGTTTGTAAGACTATGTCTTCATGGATGAAAAGTTGATGGATAGACTTCTGGATGTGCATGTGTTTAGTGGGACAACAAATATATCAGATCATTATATAGGTGCAGCTATAGTGAGAGTGTGAGGTAGATGGAGCACCAGGAGAATGTCATCAACGAGTAAGAGAGAAGTAAAGGTTTATAAGTTAGAGGAGGAGGTAGTTAGGGTAAGATATAAGGAACTATTGGGAGAAAGATGGGCTAGTGAGAGTATAGGTAACAAGGCGGAGGCTCAACAGGTATGGACGAATTTAAAGAATGCAATGTTAAAGTGATGTAGGAGGGTGGATGCAGGAGAGAAGAGCAACGATTGATGGAATGACGAAGTAAAGAAAGTGGTAAGGGAGAAAAAGTTAATGTATGAGAATTTTTGTTTACGAAGTAGAAGTGATATAAGGAGAGTGAAAGAGAGTTTAAAGGTATTGTAATAGGCAGAGCAAATAAGATAGTGGATAAGGTTTTTGTCAAATTATGCTGAGAATATGAAAAAGTTTTAGAGCGAGATTAGTAAGTTGAGAAGACCTAGTGAACGAATGGATTTAGCAGTTAAAACAGAAGAGGGGAGTTATTAGATGTGAAGGTGGAAGTATTGGGAAGATAGAGGAAATATATTGAGGAAACGTTAAATGTTGATGAAGATAAGGAAGCTGGGATTTCATGCACCTGGCAGGGAGGTATAACATATTTCAGGAGGCTGTGAGCAGAATGAAAGGGAGCGAAATAGTGTAAGAATTATAGGTAAATGAGCCGTAAAGTGTATGGTAGAGTTATTATTTAAAAAAAAATATTGGTAAGACTAGAAAGTAGGATTGCAGCTGAAGAAAAAGATTTTATTTAAGTTAGAGGATTTGTAGACCAAGTGTTTACATTGAAGCATATAAGTAAATAATATTTAGATAAATGTAAGGAAGGTTTCGTTGCATTTATAGACTTCGAAAAGAAATTTAATAATATGGGCAGGAAAGCAATGTGGTTAGTGTTGCAAGTGTATGGAATATGTGGTAAGTTACTGAAAACAGTTAGTTTTTATGAGGTTAGAGTATGTAGGAGAGAGGGAGATTTTCCAGTAAAAGTAGGCCTTAGACAGGGATGTGTGATGTCACCATAAATGTTTAACATATTACCTTTGGTGCAAATTGTAGGACCCACAGCCTCGGAGAAGTGGATAAAAAAGCTTCGAGGAAGAATATTTGGATTTCTTCCTAAAGCCATTTGAATGTTCCACTTCCTCTACTACCCCCCATCTTTTCATGGGGATGTAAAAGAGGCGAATGTTAGGATGTTAGGGAGTGGTGTGGGATTAAAATATATAAATTAATTTAAAGTGGGAGTTTTGACAGTTGTTTTTGCCGCTGACACGATGCTGTAGGAAGATTCTGAAGAGAAGTCCTTTCTTGGATTAAACCTAATTATCTCCTATTTCCCAGACCCTCTATGACCCCTACAGAATTAGCGTTTCTCAGTAATAATAATAATAATAATAATAATAATAATAATAATAATAATAATAATAATAATAATAATAATAATAATAATAACGGACCGGCAGGAACTGGCTCGAGTGATCGGTGAGAACGAGGAAGCTGAGGAGTTCCTGAGTATAACGTCAGAGGAGGGGCAGGTGTGGCTTGAGTCTCACCCGGGCATCGTTGGCGACACCTACAGGAGCTTCCTTGCCAGACACGGTCATCGCTGCATCAAGGAGGTAGATAAACACGCAGCTCACATCGAGAGGTGTGTAAGTGGACACGGCCTGATACTTCAGCTTTTTCTACGTGGGTTGGATGTCCAGTGCTGGTACATCAGTGATGGCCTTGAACAGATTCTCATACAGCTGCTGATGCAAGCGTCAGATTATTTTCTCTTGACGTATTAAATCCCACCACCAGTAAATACGGCAGGCGGTAGGCAGGTCACAACGTGTGTAAATCCTTGTCATCATACATCATATACGGAATGGTCAGCCTAGCTATTCATTTTTCAAACACTTACATATTTATTGAGCACATTCTGCATACACCAAGAGATGTGGATTTCTCATTGTATATACAAGAGAGATGTGTATCAATGTATTTATATCTCAGTGCATATGCAATGCACTTTAGAGGTTACCTAAACCCCCATTTTAGGGATTACAGTATAATGAATAAGTAAAATACAACATCACTAATGTAAGTGAAGTGTACAGGCTTCAGAGGCACCTAATTTCCCCAGGCTTCTAATTACATGTTCATTTTTCCCTTATAATCTACCTTTTACATAATTACTGTCGTATTTACTTTGTCTCGTAAGGTGAAGTCCAGGATATTTCCTTAATTCATGGTATAACTTAACATTAGTTTACATGTTGAAGATATTAATTAAAATTACTGTATTATTGTTACAAAAATGCAAATTCGCCTATATGGTCACCCTGTACAATAAAACTATAAAACTTCGAGATTAAAAAGTACCAAAACGTCATTAAGACTCCATTAAATACAGCAGCCTTGTGTTAGGTAGGAAACACCTGCCTACTTGTGTGTGGTGTGTACTGCTTTAATACGTCAGGAGAAAACTATCTGAGGCGGGTATCAGATGTATGAGCATCCCAGGTCATCACTGATGTACCAGTGTTGGACATTCAACCCACGTAGAAAAAACTCAAGAATCACACTGCATCCACTGACGCACCAGATGAGTACTGGTCCACTGTTGAAGTTAGAAGCCGATCTGACGAGCCGCTTTCTCGGTGTTACCCATAAACAAAAGTTAGGCGTAACGTATGCGCTGAAATTTAAGGTTCCTGGAGAGCGAAACGTTGCCACAATAAAATGTCGCATTAGTTGCACTTGTGTCGTACTTGTCTTGTATCATATTACACTGGTCAACAATTTTTAGAAAGTTGTATGCTTCTTAAATGAGATTAATTAATTCTTATGTATTTTCATGTCCTGAATCCAAATATCACCTTGAAAAATGCTTGTTGGCTATATAGGTTTAAAGGTAAGAGACATGTAATATTTGATTATTTTATTATACCGTACAATATGTGTCAATATGTTTTAAACTAATGAGTACCTACTCTCTGCCTTTTTGTTTGACGCTCCTAGTGGACTGAAGAATCATCTCTTGCCAATTCCAGCAATAGTCTGCAAGCATTCTTGTGCTCCATTTGCCCTGGTACCATTTTTCCATGGTTGAAATATCTTGGTGAAACCTTTCACCATGTTCGCTGGAAAAGAAGTCTAAATGTGAGTCCAAAAAGTGGATTTTAAGTGACATGTTACATCCCATGTTCTTGTAAGCCTTGATGAGGTTTTCCACCAATTCTTCATAGTTGCCTTCCCTTCTGTTTCCTAGAAATCTCTTCGCCACTGACTGGAATGCTTCCCAAGCAGCTTTCTCCTCCCCATGAAGATCTGATTCTAAGTCACATCTTTAAGAAGCTCTCGAATTTGAGGACCATTGAAGACTCCCTCTCTTATCTTAGCGTCGCTCAGTGAGGGGAATTTTGATGTTAAACACTTGAATTCCTTGCAAGATTTTGTCTATAGATTTTACAAAGTTTTTCATGAGCCCCAGTTTTATGCGTAGTGGTGGTAGTAAAATTTTGTTTGGTTCAATGAGAGGTGGATATCGAACATTTTTCATCCCAGGTTCCAATGATTGAGGTGGCCAGTCTCTTCTGATGTAGTGGGAACCTCTTGCACGGCTGTCCCATTCACATAGAAGCAGCAGTACTTGGTGCATCCGCCCAGCAGGCCCATCACAAGAGCAACATCCTTTAAGTCACCACAGAGCTGCCATTGATGTTCATCATATTTTATGCATTGCAACATATGCTTTATATTCTCATAAGTTTCTTTCATACGTGGTGCATAGCCCACAGGAACTGATGATTTACTGTTGCCGTTATGTAGCAAGACAACTTTCAGACCTATGAACAGCCTCCAGTGACTGCCACAAGCCTGTTGGAACCTGTTGTGACACGTAGGTCTATATTGAAAAGTACAACTAACAAACAATTTTAACCATGATATTCCTTATCAATGGCCTAAAATTAGTTGAAAATTGCTACTCTGGTCTCGGAAGTATTTTGGTTGTTGACCAGTGTTATCAAGACATGTCTTAAACTATCAAGACCTGTACTATCAAGGGTAAAATTCACTAACATCAGTCTTTGTCTCCCACAGTTGGACCTCAGCTCCTTGTCCTGGGGTCTTGACCCCCGACCCCTGGTCTACACACTACAGGTGAGTACTGGACCCCTGGTCCACACACTACAGGTGAGTACTGGATCACTGGTGAAAACATTGCATGTGAGTACTGAACCCCTGGTCCACACACTGCAGATGAGTACTGGACCATTGGTCAACACACTGCAGGTGAGTACTGGACCCCTGGTCCACGCAATATAGGTGAGTACTGGTCCACACACTGCAGGTGAGTACTGGACCTCGTAGTGTTTTGGTAGCGCGTACGATTCACAACACAATGACCCGGGTTTAACTTACGGTGAGGGCGAGACTTATGGAACAAGTACCCTTACACTTGCTCTTCATCTGTCTTTAAATATATTTTATGTAACTTATAACACATAGTTTTGATAATAATAATAATAATTTTATTTAGCTTACTGTTGTGCACAACACCTGCGTATCCCTGCGATCCTCGTTGGGGAGGGGAATTTTTACTTCTGCATTCGACGTCATCTTCCACGATGCATTTCTCAGACCGTGTGAAGATCAAACCGAGAAGTGGGACAATCATGACTCGTCCAAACTAGCACTTGCAGCTGCCGTTAGCGGCATATTGCAGGTTAAATGTATTGTGACTCTATCGCTCTAAGAGGCCTTCGTTGTAGTCTGCTCTGACGACATCGAAATCGAGAAACTTATCACCACTGATACTACAATCACTCTTAACTAACGAAGATTTCAAGTCATGACTTCCCCAGCTTTGAGGGCCAAGAGAACTGTGTTCCTTAAGCGACTGGATAACCTCATCACAACCCAGGCTCTTGAAGAAATTAAGTCATCAATAAAAGATCAGAACCCTTGGGCCACGGTGGAATATATTACCAAAATACCTAATGCTTCTTCAAGGCTCAAGGTCACCTTCATTTATGGCAACATGGCAACCCAAGCTCTCGCAGAGGGACTGGTAATCCATTACTTCCTTATCAACCCAAGTTACATTAAAGCCGAGAGATTCCAGCACATCCCACAGTGTTACAGCTATTACAGGATTGTCCTACCAAGGATAAAAGTTCTGTTCGCCCTGCAGCAACGAAGGACATGATTTCAAGACTTACACCACCACCACTCCACCTAAACTGCAAGAGTGAGCACCACACCTTCGCTGCTGAAACCCCTACAAGAAGAGAAGTTCTCAAGAAACAACTAGACCAGCAAAAGAAAACTGCAAAATCTCCAACATATGCTGCAATCACTAAACTGCAAGAAGACACCACCAAAATACTCCACCAGCAATATATTACTGCCAATACCTGTCGATGAATCCGCAAAATCAATTACTGCATGATATATGCGTATATGCACAACAAAGCTATACCTGGATCCTTCAACACCACCATTAATGAACTCTTCAGGCTGAACAACATGCCTAGTTTTACATTCCCGGATTCTCCATCTTCTTCAGACATAATCAAGACCACCACAAATAGTGTCAATGTCTCAACACCTGCAAGTTACTCTCAAACAGCTCCACCACAACCATCGACATGTGACGAGCCGCCTCAAAATCCCACCAATGAGATGCTTCCACTGCCTTCCTCCATCAAGGAAACGAATCAACTGAAGCATCCACCACCACAACGCCATCTCCCTCCTCTGCTACCAACACCACCACCGGCGAACCACCTGTCGCCACTATCACTGCTACTAAAAAAATCACCTCCAGTTCTCATACCTACACAGGTTGCTAAAATCGCTGGAGGATTAAGGGGAATACTAAACCAGAAGTACGAATCATGTCCTGGCGTCAAGCTCTACACTACTGAACACAAGGGCAGTATGTTCTGCGACGAACTCTGTCAACGAGTCAAAGATAGAACTGTGAAGTTTACCAGCGACCCAAATCAACACCGCACCACTCAAAACATACTTGAGGACATCCATGAGTACATTACCGACTATGAGAGCTTGACCCGGATCATCCACGTCCCCAGGACGAAATTTGGAAATATCAAAAACGCTTCTCTTCCCATCCACCAATCACCATGAAGCTGAGTTCCCCAGCACTTAGGCAGGGACCTCAAGCTGGGGTGTGGCTCTATTCGACACTGTAATCGTCGCTTGGCCCTTCCTGATGAACATCAAAATGGTATACAATACCGACAGGTTGGTAGGTAAGACACATAGGCAACAGTTAGGCAACTTTATTCCGAAACGTTTCGCCTACACAGTAGGCTTCTTCAGTCGAATACAGAAAGCCTACTGTGTAGGCGAAACGTTTCGGAATAAAGTTGCCTAACTGTTGCCTATGTGTCTTACCTACCTACTGGCCCTTCCTGACATTGCCTGCTGCTGTGCAACTTCATCAGCCGCTCTCGCATCGCCAGCTGCTGCGCAGCTGGCATGCCCTTCAAGACACTTCCGTGACCGGGAGCCAAGGCCGGGTCACCATTTGGAAAAGACCCAGGCAGGTAAATATACCGGCGAATCTACAACAACAACAACGTTACTGCTGTGAATCACTTCCGGGACAAGAGAACAGTGGAAATAAGCCACACTAGTTGCCTTACTTGGGTTATACTGGGTTACTAACCCTCTGGGATGTTATGACCATGATTTTTTAAGGGGTGGACAGGTGAGCCAGTGGAAGGCTTCGGCCAAAAGTTCCAGCTGTGGGTCATCATATGACTAAATGAAACCAAATCATACCTAACCAAAGTTAACCTAACCAAACAAAACATCACCAAAGAAACTCAAATCAAACCTAACATTGTTGATTTCATTTGTGATTCAGAGGGCGAGTTAAGTAGCACTCAGTAACTCAGACCGGCGGCGACGGTGCTCTGAAGTAAACACTATATTTAATATTGCTCCACTGTACTTCAACGTTAGATGGTTATTCGGGTCTCGTTTAAACGCTAATAAAATGCTGTAAAACGTTTGTTTTGAAGCATTTTTCAATATGTATGCCTGTGACTGGGATGAAAATACTGAGTATTATTATTTGTTTTCCAGTATTTCTAAGGTGAATCCAGAAGTGTTCCAGCTCCATTTAACAATACAAATAAAGGTGAAAAATGACTCCTCGTGCATCAAAACATTAAATGATGAATCATCCACATCTTTATCTAAGGGAATCTTTTTTTTTTTTTTTTGGAGAGGGAACCTCATTATGATCAGTTATTCATGACCCAAGGAATCTGGAAGACACCATAGTCAAACTTATCAGTACTCTGGTCTGCTCCAGGCACTAACGCTGAGGCAGAAAGAGAAGAAGAAAAATATTTAAAAACGAGATGAAGAATAAAGAAGATAATGATTTAGAGAGAGAAATATATCTCTTTTAATTAAGAGAGCGTCCTGGTCACCTGGAAGCAAAATGAAGATATTAAATAAGATTAACGTAAAAGATGTTGGTTAGAAAAGAAATCTATTGATAATGAGATAAATTGAAAGACGGAGATACAGATAGGGATAAAGATAGATATTAAAATATAAAAATGTAGAAAGAGCTTGATATAGATAGAGGTAGATAACGACAGAAAAAACTGAGAAAGAGATAGAGACAGGCATTGACAGATAGATATAGAGGTTGTCAGAAACAGATTGAAAAATAGAGATTATGATAGAAGGAAATTGAAATGGAGAAAAAAGTGAGATACGAATTGGGATGGAGACCCAATAGAAATAGATTTAGATATGAGATAGGAATAAAAATTGAGATAGAGAAATATAGAAATGGAGATAAAGATAGCAATAGAGACTGTAGTAGAGACTGAGATAGGGAAGGAAATAAAGATAGATGTTGATGGGGATAGAGATTGATATATGAAGATTAGATATAAATAGTAAAATGGATAGTCCCAGAGTGGTTGTGGTTGTGTTTCCAGTGGTTGTGTTTTTCCCATGTGGTTGTGGTTGTGTTTTCCCAGTGTGGTTGTGGTTGTGTTTTCCCAGAGTGGTTGTGGTTGTGTTTTCCCAGTGTGGTTGTGGTTGTGTTTTCCCAGTGTGGTTGTGGTTGTGTTTTCCCAGAGTGGTTGTGGTTGTGTTTTCCCAGTGGTTGTGGTTGTGTTTTCCCAGTGTGGTTGTGGTTGTGTTTTCAGAGTGTGATTGTGGTTGTTGTGTTTTCCCAGAGTGGTTGTGGTTTGTGTTTTTCCCAGTGGTGGTTGTGTTTTCAGAGTGTGATTGTGGTTGTGTTTTCCCAGCGTTGGTTGTGTTTTCCCACTGGTGATTGTGAGTTGTGTTTTCCCAGAGTGGTTGTGGTTGTGTTTTCAGAGTGTGTTGTGTTGTTTTCCCAAGTGGTTGTGGTTGTTGTTTTCAAAAGTGTGATTGTAAGTTGTGTTTTTCCCACAGTGGTTGTGGTTGTGTTTTCCGTTCCACTGATTGTGGTTGTGTTTTCCCACAGTGGTTGTGGTTGTGTGTTTCCCACAGTGATTGTGTTGTGTTTTCCCACAGTGATTTGTGGTTGTGTTTTCCCACAGTGGTTGTGGTTGTGTTTTCCCACAGTGTTGTGTTGTGTTTTCCCACAGTTGATTGGGTTGTGTTTTCACACAGTGGTTGTGGTTGTGTTTTCCCACAGTGGTTGTGGTTGTGTTTTCCCACAGTGATTGTGTTGTGTTTTCCCACAGTGATTGTTGGTTTGTGTTTTTTTCCACAGTGGTTGTGGTTGTTTTTCCCACAGTGGTTGTTTGGGTTGTGTTTTCCCAGAGTGGTTGTGGATGTGTTTTCCCACAGTGGTTGTGGTTGTGTTTTCCCACAGTGGTTGTGGTTGTGTTTTCCACAGTGATTGGGGTTGTGTTTTCCCACAGTGATTGTGGTTGTGTTTTCCCACGTGGTTGTGGTTGTGTTTTCCCCAGTTGATTTGGTGTGTGTACACAGTGGTTGTGGTTGTGTGGGGCCCCACAGTGATTGTGGTTGTGTTTTCCCAAGTGGTTGTGGTGGTTTTCCCACAGTGGTGTGGTTGTGTTTTCCACAGTGATTGTGGTTGTGTTTTCCCACATGGTTGTGGTTGTGTTCCAGAGTGGTTGTGGTTGTGTTTTTCCAGTGGTTGTGGTTGT